GTCTGTCGATGCGCGAGGAGAACATGAAGAGATGCCGAACTCGCCTCGCTGCGTACATTCTGCCGAGGCTCATCCAATTCAGGGGTGCATTGGCATGAGAAGGGGCGAAATATACTGAACTTTCAGGCATGATTACCCTCAGCTGAGGAATTTCTCCCATCACTTGAATCTCCCTCGTTTCGCACTACAATTTCGCCGATCAATGCGTTACAGATAGCCAGAATTTGTGGAACTTTGTAATAAGTTTACTCTGTGAAGCGTTCTAATGCATTAATTTTGGCACTGCTGAAGCCCATGAAAGCCAATTTTCGCATATTGCCTCATCTCATTGTATGTAATTGCGCCAACGTCAATGATAGTGCGAAAAGCGGAGTTGCGGTAAAAACGAATTTCTGCTTTTTATCAGTGGAGAAAATATATTTTCCATCCCGACGTGTTTAATTAAATTTGTTTGGAGTTTAACAAATTAATTACCGGCTTCCAAACAGACACTTGTGGTGTACAAAATGTCTGCGGAAAACTGACGTTGGAGAATTGATTAAAGTGAATGACATATAAAATTGCCCCTATTTTCAATCACGGATATTCAATCGTTTCTTCTGAAATTCAATAAAATTCCATTGGCAACTGACAGTGTACATATTAGGTCTAGGAGACAAATTGAACATAATTGAAGGAAAATTACCTCCGTATGACAACGCGCTTCAAATTTTTTCTCTGCCTCATTGTGAAAAGGAACGGAGGAAATGATTTTCCTGGAAAAATTTATCGGTGAATGGTTGAAGGAGAGAAGCATGGGAAATTTGACGTAATCTCTCTGTTTTTGGCGCCTTCTCCCTTGTCCAATTTCCAATTGAGACGCATGTTCTTGGGAATCCCGCGAGGAGTTGGGCTTCATTCATAATGTATAGACAACAAAAGGCACATTGTAGACGCTCCCCTCAATTTTCATCGTATTGTCACATTGATTTCCGCCTCATGCATTCGTGTACCTTTTATTTCCACATCAATTGCGAAGGGGTGTGTGGGAGTGTGCTGGGGCGCAACGGACATTCCCTTGGACAGTCACAATAGCAATCACACACCCCCAGTCGAGATGGACTGGAGTCCCAAGTTGGGATTTAATGAATGTACATTACATTTGCATTAATCATGAGTGGGAAAGACCAACGGCTGGAAGGGGTACACGGCGCTTATGTGAGTGCCCACGGGGGGTGAGACCCCAAAGGGTGAGCGCCGAGCACTCGAATTTTATTTGCTCCGCCGAATCCGTCAATCGCGTGTGTAATTACGACGATATCGCCCACGAGGCATCGATGTCATTCAATTATGGCCCCTCCACTATGACTTCTCGAGCGCCGCGGCGCTGGGGTCACTGGCGGGCATTCAGCATAGCGTCACATGCTAATCTCCAGGCGACGAATTTTGCCACAAGCCCGTACCTTATCGCACCATCGACCGCACACTTTTCCCGAATTAATTGACAATTAGCTCTCTTGTTACTCCAACACGATTAGCCTGGGTCGAGAACCTCGGGAGGGCATCCGAACTAAATGTTAAGGAACAAAGAGAGATAGATGTTCCGTTCAACTATTAAAAGTACAACGAAAGCACTTCAACCAAACCCATTTGTGTACATACCAAATTACCCCAAATACTGAATCAGTGGTCAAATCAATTTGGAGTATTATAAACTTGTTGCTGGCAAAAACGCTTCAAATGCTCTAAAACATATGTTCTAGATAACTTCCGAACAGTGAATGACATGATAAACTCTCATAAAGTCTATCATCTGAGAGTCTTATTAAATTTCACTGATTTTTTTTCTATGCAATCAAAAAGGGTTACTGAATGTTTAGATGTGTTGACAGAGCCTTTGCTTAAGGCAAAAAAACTTGTTTCTCACTTTGTGGATTTTTAATCTGAAGTTTGTCAGTGTTTTTCTTGTCCATATTCATCAAATCTCTGTCAATCTATCATTAAAATTGACTGTATTAAGTCGAATCTCAGAAAGTCTGACATGATTAATCACAGTGACAATATATGTCATAGTTTTATTGACAATTCGATTCCGCTCTCAATTCTGCTGTATAGTTTTGATTAAAACTTTCGACCATAAAATATTCACAATGAATAATATATTGCTGATAGAGTAGAACAATATTGATTTTGAACTTGAAAAATAAAATGAATTGGTGTTATAAATTATTTTCCTTCACATTTTTTTTTATTTATTCACCATGGACAAATACAGAATTTTATTTATTTTGCAGTATTTCATATATCCTGGGGAGCTTTAAAAATGCTCCCTCATTGGCACCATCAATTCACATGGGGATGAGCTATAATGCTCAATAAATGCTTCTGCTGTAGCGTTTTGGTGCACCGTATATTTGTTTGTAACATTTAAATGGTGGAAATTGTCATTTAGATTGATCGCACAATTGAAACTTAATTATGTGATTACTGGAAGAGGGTGGAATCACCCATAAATTTTGCACTCGCCACTTCACACTGAATTTCACTTCACCCAAACCCATTGCATGCAATCCAAACCCCAAGTTCGCCACTCTTAGTGTTCGCATATGGAGTGGATGTGAAAGTGCAGGAGGAGCGTATAAATTGCAGTAATGCCATCCGGCAGCTTTTCCACACTTATTTTATTCCTTAATTATGAGCCACACACCACATCCTTTGAGATGGGAAATGTGCAGTTTCAAGGAGTCGAGATGCTGTTGGGAAACTTTATTTTTATGATCTCACCATCGGCAAACGGAAAAGCTCTTCTGCATCGCCCTTTGCCACCCCGATTCGCAACTAAACCAAAATGGAGTGCGGGTTGCAAAACAACGAGAGAGCGAGAGAGTTGCATGAGAAGATTAGCGATTTGTGCATTCATTGATTACATTATCAGTTTCCAGGAAATTAAGTTGCACAGAGTGGTTTTTTGTGCTTGCAATTCATCATACACAAACATCGTTTCTTAGTGGGGTCAACTTGTTAATAGTTAAAACCCCTGGTTTAAGAATAGAGCAAGAGCAGCCGACTCCGCTTCCGATGGCCTCCCCAGAAAAGTATGTGTGCAATGTCTGGGTGCATGCACGCTCCAACTGCGAGCCTGCCATGGAAAATGCCAGACAACACGAACAGAGGCGTCCTTAAGTAAGTTGTAAGAAGTTTTGCATGTCGCAGCACTATATTTCGGCTCATGTTCTCCATTTCGGCTCCCACCATGAACTATGATAAGTTCGTACTATTTGGCAAAAACATGAAGCGAGAGGAAGAACCTGGAACTTTGCCTCAACACATAATTTAGAGTGACAGTTGCTTTTAGCACAAAATATCATTGTACTTTGGCTTTCTTTGCCAAGTACCAATGTTCGCGCTCGAGTCATTCCGACACACAATTCTTAATGCTTCTGCCCACAATAGAAAATCCTCTGGCTTCAGGGTGGACTGGGTTATGCGCGGAAGTGAGTCAAATGCACAGGGAGAGAGAAAGTCTCTCTTATACGCGGCTTGCCTGTGCAGTTGAGGATAAGAAAGTATTGTATTGTACGAGACTGTTGCGGTATGATATATTGAGTGCTGTGTTCCTCCTCCTCACGGAGATTCAATAGCGTACTCACTGATGGAATTCAATACAATCACAATATATATGGAAAATATGCAGATTATGGCAGAAGACGATGTGAATTTCTCCGTTCAAAAGCACCTTTCGTCGAACATATTTGCTTATTCTGAACACTTTGGCTCTACGGATCTACCTTGCAGCCTGATCGGCAACCAATCTGTTGTCCTTCGGTTATGTTTGCCGAGAAATGTTTACTTCCAGCACTTTCAAAAGTTAATCCATGCATGTATTAATCCGCAAAAGCCCAAAAGAGACGACCTCTCTTCGATGATATCGGAAACAACAACCGGAACACTTCCCATCTACGCCTCATTCTCCAACTCATCTCCAAAGTATGCTCTTGTCAGATTCTGCTGCACTTTCACTACTCCGGTAGCTCCCATCGCAACTTATACTGGTGGTAAATATTTATTTGCAACACACACTCTCGCTTCGAAAGCATCATCCGCAGTGTTTGTCGATTATGAATATTCACTCTATCGGCGCAACCGGAAGAACAATGTAGTGACTTGAGTGATGGTTTTCAATTTTCCAGCGAAAAGCGCCATGAAAATTGCTAAACAAATAGATTTTGTAGTGAAATCTACCTCTATCACATCCATTGAGGATTTGACATTAAATATTTACAGATAAATAACCACATTCAGGGCTCCGCATCGCATTTCACTCACTATACAGCGAAATCGCATTTGACACGCTTTCACAGTGGTGCCACACTCTGGGGCTGAAAAGGGAGAGAAAAAGCTCCGCGTTATTGGCACATTTAGGAGAACCGGAAGAAGTTGAATTAGGATGGAGGCGCCAGGTTGTCGTTAAATGCTATCCATGGGAATTCATGGGAAAGTTTTTATGGTCTTGCTCTCTGTCTGAGCACATCTCATCACAATCCCCATGTTGGGAGTTTTTTTTTCACTGATGGGACTTCTCTTTTTTTCGACTCCTGCAGAGACACTCTTTTTACCCACCTCGAGGGTGACATTGTAAATGAGACCAGCACGAGGTCTTTTTTCCGAGAGCTCCATGTAGCAAACACCGTGGTCTGTGGCCACTTTTTGCCCCTTCTCCGAGCGAAAGCTCGACGGGTGGGCAATGACTGAGAAAAGCTCCCTTCAAGTACTTTTGGCGGCCACATCTTCGGAGCTCCAGTCGTTGCGTGTCGCCGTCATTCTTACATAATTATCGTCACACGCATATACATAAATAAATTTAATTCAATTCTTTTCACAATAGCTCTTGAATTGCTCCATAAATTATGCTCAGCACTTGCTTTGCCATAATTTATCCACCTGCGATTGTGTGACTTGACCTGACAGATAGAAAAACACACACCAAAACTCCATTTAACGTTGTTTTCCTTTCATTACAGGCCAAACACAAGCACATCAGTTTAATACCAGTGGACTTCCCTTCGTAAGGATGATCCACTATTAATTGACAACAGGTAAACTTCACTCTTAGTCATAATTCCAATCGACTCTTCGTATCTAATCCTAAACTGAAGTGGAAATACCACGGCAACGGTGAAAACTCTTCACCCACTGTTTGTGTACTGAATATGAGCGTGATCGAAATGCTATCAATAGTACAAGATTAACGCTGAAGGTCTCATTTATACCTATTCATTACGGCGCAGTTAAAAATATCGTGAAAAATAAATACAATTACGGGAAAATGAAAATATTTTTCCAATGCTCACGGAAGATTGCTGCCAAACAACCACTGAAACTGAAACAACACCCACGTGGCCCAGGAGAATGTCACGTAATGTTTAGGACACAACTTTCTCATTCATTAACTCAAAATCATTCTGAGCAGCAACAACTGATGCTTTCCCAGGACAATTAGAAGGAAGGGCAGGGCGAAAAAGCGAACGTGAATAGGAGGAAAAGTGAGAAATCGTGATACTCTTCCTGCCAACAATGACGAATAGTCCTCAATATAATTTTCACGACATACCAGTTGAGAGAAGCCAGGAAAATAAATGAGCTCCTGCTCAATAATGAAAAAGAGAACAAAATTATGTATTAAATACCTTTTAGGAAACCTGACACGATGTAGCATCTACATATTTATTTCCATAATTGATCCCCTTTTGTGTGTTAAAAAGTTAAAAATGCAGAAAACTTTTGATAACTTGCAAGAATTTACATAGAGCAAAAAGTTGTTGGAAATTTTGAAATACTTTCACGTTAAAGTTTCCAGAGTGAAAGGTAAGTTTGTCAGGATGAGGGCTATTTTCATTTTATTGACTATCTGTGCCAGGTACCGGAGAAGCTTGAGAAATTGTTTGTGCTTGAAGTCAAGTGTAGTGAAACTGACGAGCAAGTTTACTCCCTTTCGGAAAATATTGATAGGAATTCTAATTAATTTTCTCCTTATTAAAATTACATTTGGGAAAGTCCTGTAATATGGAAATAATGAGATAAATTATATCAGTAAGCTAATGAGTCTGGAAATGTACAAGTTTTCTTCAAACTAACTTATTGATTTTATTTATAAGCAAGTAAATCTATAATTGAATTATACCTGTCACTGTATTAGAGCGACGAATTCGATTTTGCATGGAACTGAATTATTGAATATTTACAGAGAAGAAGTGAAGTTTTAGACAAGTCCCAGGCAACTTTTGTGAAGACGTGCAACTAAACTATAAATTGATTCACTGAAGTGTTTTTGGGATTCACTATTCAATATTTCAGGCTTTGGTTTAGAGTTTGTTCACTGAACTCTGTACGATATTTTTAGACTATCTCGGAAATAAAGGTTATAAAAAGATGTTATTTATATTCCAGTTCGATGACTGGAATAGTGTATTGTATCACATCCACTTATTTTGGTAAATATAAAAGCTGTAATTCGATATTCAATCCAATGAATGAGAACAGGAATAAGTATATTAATCTTGTTTAGACAGAGTTTTCATATAATTATAGAACATAGATATTTCGAGAGGAAGAAATTATATATTGTTATTAGGACTCTAATAAAATACCGCCATTTCGGGAATATCAATTATATTTCTCGGTATCTGTCTCCAAATGATTCTCCCTATCTCAACATCTTCTCACAATGTAAAAAGTGTCACTCTAAATTATATGTTTTCGTGCAAATATTACGATCTCAGGTTCCATCCACACTCTGTGTATTGCAGGAAGCACTTCGCATTCTGTGTGACGAGCGAGATACTTGGAAAAGAGAGCGTAGGTGGGGTGCTGCATGAAAAATGTCGCCGGAAGTGGGACAAATTTTGGTGGCAGTTGCCCTCTTCCTCAGCACAGATGCCATCCGAATCGATACAACATCGCACGGCCACCAATCAAGGAGGAGCGGTGGCACGGATGTCTTCACATCGCCATTCCTTGCAGAGCACCGGGTAACGAATATAACGACCCAAATAGGCACCCATGCCTATCTGCCGTGCAAGGTAATTAAGTGGATTAATTGCCAGTGATTTCTCACATGAGCGGTATATTTTGCAATCCTCTCTTCCTTGCATGATACTCGCCAGGCGAGACAGTTGGCCAACAAATCAGTGTCATGGGTGAGAGTTCGAGACGATCACATTTTAACGGTGGACCGCACAGTGTTTATCGCCGATGACCGCTTCCAATCATTCTACGTCGAGAGCACCGGCATGTGGACGCTGCAGCTCAAGTATGTGCAGGCTCGCGATGCTGGGATTTACGAATGTCAGGTGTCCACAGAGCCGAAGGTCAGCGCCCGGGTCCATTTGCACGTAGTTGGTAGGTTATTCCTTTTTATCTGGACACTCTCATCCCTGCGGCTCTCGTGGGACTCAATTCACTGACGCTGCAGGGACATTCGTGGATTTAAAGTCTCGAAATGAGAGATAGAGAGTGAGAGAGAGACTGGAAAATATCGTCCTCTTTGCATCAATTTCACGTCCTCGAGAGAGCAGAAGGGATATTTATTTACAGTTTGTGCCAATTTTGTTATTTACTCGGGATTGCTCCCTCATGCGAACATGTTTTTGCCTCTCTTCCACACGCTCACACTCCTCCTGGAAAACTAGTGCCACGAACTGAATTGATGGGCGACTCAAATCGCTACGTGAAGGCGGGCAGCAGAGTGGTAAGAGTGCCCCAGACCTTGCATCCTCCGCCCGCATCTGAGATTCACGGGTGGACGAGTGGCGCCGTTCTGGATGATGTGCCACTAAATATTGCCCTTTCCCGGAATACTTGCAGATAATTCGGTGTGTAGTGCGAGGCGCCCTGGAGCCACCGGCCTATGTGTTCTGGTACTTTGGGCTCGAGCAAATTTTCACGGACAATAGATACGGGTGGATCATGCAGACTGATAGTGAGAGTGACACCCATAGCACAGTAAGCCCCGTACTGCTCCACAATCAATGGCATAATGTCCATTTATGTGTTGAATCCAACACTTGCAGATTGCATCTCTAATCATCCCATCGGCCCGCAAGCGAGACACTGGAAATTACACCTGCAACCCTTCCAACAGCGACGCCGTCACCGTTCTCTTGCACGTCATCAACGGTGAGTTTTAATTGATTTCACATTTTGACCAAGGAAATTAATTGGGACATGTGCAACTACGGGAACATTTGCCGAAGGTGTATCGCTTTCACAGCATAAAGTGCATGCAAATTTAGCAAAATGCTGCACATGGATAAAGTTTTGTCCTGTATTTCAAGTCAAGTATTGTGTACAAATTTTTTGGACACTTTCAACTCGCTTTTACCAAGAGGAGAAATTGAAATATTCAGACAATAATTATCCAATTTCATGGTAAATTAATTCATATTCACTATTCCCACAAATATATGGTTATGCATATCATAATTTTTAGACGATATGCTCTAATAATGCTCATAAATCTCGTATTTAAGTTCTGTGTGCATTATTTTTTCTAGATCAATACAAATGAAGTTAAATAATTTATTTAAATTGGCATCATGAAAATGCATTAAACATCTATTTGAAATCCCACATTTTGTATGAAATGGATTATTCTTATTTTAAATTAATCGCTTTCAATTGCGGTTTGAAGCGTTTTAAGTGCTAAAGTGATAATTAATTTGCTTTACGGTGAAATTCAATACAAAGAAGAAGGTTCAATTTTTGGAGCAGAGCTTTTTTCACACTCCGAAGTTATCCTGAAGATTCCTCACGCCAATCAGCAGTTGAGACTTTGTGGCAAATTGCTTAGCAAAGTTTGTCGCACATGCTCTGGGGGTGATACATTGTGCAATGTCTGCAATTATCCCCGAAATCACATTCTATTTTTCACTCCAATGCAGCCGAATACTCAGCATCCGCTGTGACGTCTGCAGCATCGGGTCATGGAAGTGTGCAGAGTGAAATTGTGGCAATCATTGTGGCGTTTGTGGTGCACATTCAAACGTGACAACATACTCTCGCATGTAGTGATGTATAAAGAGGACTTTTTATTTAAGGAAAAAAGGAAGATACTGTCTCATACTGTAAATTGGTGAAAGAAATTAATTGGAAGTTGTACAAGAATGCGAGGTTCCGAAGGAATGGCGAATAGACTAATTGCACCAGACGACACCCGGAAGGAATTCAGCGAAATTGAAATTGTAGCTGCAAGATACCAGAGATGAATGGTGAGAAAATTACAGACGAAATTATTCAATAATTGAAACTACAGTAAGAAATTAATTGACATTAAGTAAATGAGAAGTGGAAAAGGAGGAAAAAATGCAATAGATAAGGCGACAGAGAAGAAAGAAATTCCATAGATCAATTTTTCCCACTTGTGACCCATTTCCCTTTTTTCGTTTTTCTCATTCTACCCTTCGGGATATCCATAACACTTTCGATTGCAACAAGATCCGGGAGTGAGCTTTCTCGGACTAGTGAACGGAGGACATCACTTGTTAAATGGATATAAAAGATAAAAGTTAGAGCAGGATAATTCTCGTGAATAGAAAATTGTACAATGTATAAATTGAAGTCATTGTGTGGATGAGAAAGGCGTGAGAGCTTTTGAGAGCGAATGGGAGCTAATCAGAGCAAAGCGAGGACATTGATTTAACGAAAAATTTATAGACAGGGAGCAAATGTGTAAAACTTATTACGTGTTGTAAATTATAAATTGAGAGATATGATGATGAGAAAAAGAGAGAATAAAATTTAAATCTTATCACAGGTTATTTACAGGTGTATTTTGTCCTTCCCATATTCTCACTCAGGTGTCAATTTAATAGCCGCCAAACTCCACAGCATTCATCCATAGCGTACTGGAGATTTTAATTACAGTCTTTCAGCCACTTAATGATACATTATACACATAATTGTAGTGTAATACACTTTAATTGATTTGAATACCCTCACAACTTTTCTCATTTTCACCCGAAAAACTCCCACGCGACCACGACGGGAAGGGACTAAATGAAAATAATACCATGGTGGATACCGTTTAACTTTTGATATTATTTTATCGGCGTTGAAGCAAATTAATGTAGAGTTGTGGCTATGATTGCATGCTCCAAGTCTGACGAAAGAAAGTCAAAGTTTTCGCTACAAACTACCAAGCAATTTCTCCACCTCAACGGCAAAATTACCGTCCACTTTTTCGGGTGAAAAGCCAAAACAAAAGGCGTCTGTGTAATTATGGTTGAAGACTTCTGAGAAATTTATAGAGCCGAAGAAATGTTTCGCAAATTCCGAATCGTGTTTAGACAAGAAAATATATAGGTAAGTGGAGAGATTTACTGACTTTATATTGATATTAAATAAATTCTAGTTTAGAGTCGCATTTTCTTATAAGCAAGAGCATTGAAAAATTTAAACTTTTGAACATACATTCGTAGTCATTTGAAAGTTTTGTCGACTCTTGGAAGCCTCGGAGTTTGATTTTTATTTCGTGTGTAAATAGTTTCATTGTAGCATTTCCTGAAAGAGCGAAACTTTCGCCACCTCCGTCTCCATTAGCGCTCAAATATGTATATAACTCTACACGTGTGTGAAGTATTTCAATGACGTCGGATGGTTATTTCATTCGAGGCCTTTTTAGGCTGAACGACGTTTCAGATCTTTTCAGGTGTGCGAGGAATCACGAAAATGTTATTTATTATCCCATATATAAACATTATCCCAATTATACGAGGATAAAGACGATGAAAATATAACACAGCGCCATCAACAGGGGAAATTATGATGGATATAACTTTGCACACGCACCCAGTCTTGGCAGAGATGCTCTGGAAATTTTATATATTGTGGAATGTGCTGAGAAATGTTTTGCAAAAGAGAGCCCAGCTACGCATTTTATGTGCAGGACTTCCAGGGGAAGGAGTTTAATGCCGAGCTGAAGTTTAAAATACTACAACAACTGACAGCAGTAATAAATGCTAGATGAAGCCACATCAGCAGAAACCATTCGGGACATAATTTGAAAGTAATTAAAAACACTTTATGCACGCGCTGCCGCCCTGTTTTGGCGCCACAAAGCGGTTGAGGAAGCCGTGAAGGTTTTCACTGTTGGCGAACGGGGAGTGTGTTTCCCGCGCGTACAATTGGGGATCGTCCAGGAGTCGGGCAGGAGCCATGGCGAAGTTTTGCTCAAGCGACGCAGTGTGGTGGGATATGTGAGCTTCGTGCCTTGGGGAGGGATGTCATGAGAAGGAAGGAGCTGACAGAAGAATGTGTGAGCATGAGCTCGTTTTAAAATTATGGCCAAACTTTGTATGACTCAATTATAAGACATAATTAATGTCATTTTGAAGCAGTTGTTGCTTAATAAGCACAGTAATTAATTTCGAGATAGTTGCCGTTATTAATTGCACCGGTATTATATGAGGAATTACTAAACTTTCCCACTCACTTTGCTTGACACGTAAAACTCCTGTGCTGTATTCGAAGAATTCCAAAATTAAATGTATACTTTCGGAAATGCTTTTTCGAATTTTAAATGACAATTTCCACCTCAAGCACCACCCCCCTCCACCTCAGCCCCCAGAGCGGGAAATGTGTGCGACATGAAGTACATTTGGAGGAAGTTGGAACAGAGAGCCATTCTCTTTTATATGTAAATCGTAAAAGCACATATTATTACTTCAGGGCTAGGAGTACCTAAGCACTGGTGAATATAAATCCTTTCATCGGTCTCCTCATAAATGGTAAGTAGTCAATAAAAGGATATAGTCGAGGTCGATGGGGGTGGTTTGGATTTCAACCTCCTGTACATGGGTCTCGATGGATATATAACACGAGTTATACATTCAATGGACTGGCTTTTAAGTAAACTAATATTGCTGGAAATCCTCATGGCGAGTAACAATAAAAGCGCCTCAGGATGGGCTTACACAACGTCCTGTGTATGGGAGATTGATGCTGAAATTATGACAAAATGGTAGAATTCATCTTCTTCTCCGCCCCATTTATACATATATACATCCTCGGTAGTCGCATAAATCCACCTTATGAGCTTCAATTGATGTAGGGCAGATCTCATTGTCATAACTTATGTATAACACAATACATTGGCTGATGGTGCACTCGTATTTTTCATTTATCAGGGTTGAAAGCACCTCAATAACGTTTCGATTTTCAGTCAAAGACTATCACAAAGCACTGAGTGTGTAAAACGGAATAAAATTTTATGAAATTCATCAAATGGCAAATAATACTCAGTATTATTTGGAATGATAGGGATATTAGTTAAGATTCGCCATAGTTTATGCATTTCCCATCAGTATTGATTCATGATGAGCAAAGAGCTGAAAGAGTTTCTGATTTCTTGCTTCACAAGAAATATGTCTGTTGTCAGGATAGTGACTTATTCGTGAGAGACTCAAGATTTTATACAAACAGAATAGACAATCACTGTTATTCTATAAATATTATTCTTGCGTGATTTATTTTCAATTAGCAACTTTCAAGCCGAAACACAGTCGTATATTGAAATCATTTGTAATACTGGCAAAGAAATCACCTAGACGTCGCGTGCTTGGAGAAATAGATTTTTTTCAGTGGATTTAAAGTATAATTTCCCATATCAAATAACTACTCTGAGAACACGAATATCCAAGCGAATATCTCAAGTATTTATAGAAACGGATTCGGGAGAATAATAAGTCATGAGTGTTTAGCCTTGGCGCTCACAGACGAGGAACGGGATACGCAAATTGGCTTTCCCCACAGGAGCTCCAAGTTTCTCCTCGCCATGGCTTCTGCATCTAATATGCGTACCATAATAGAGTGGATCTTAAGTTTACCACAAGTTGTGAATACATTGCGTCCCAGTTTCGAAGTGCTGCTCTGCTAATTCAGCCACTTGACGTTGAAGTGCAGCACGTAGACTGACCCAGTCGGTGCTTGTTGGTGCGATATATTGAGCGGTGTGTGTGGCATGGAGTGCAGATCCATTGGCGAAGTATAAATTACCAATTCATGCCTTTGTGCATCAGTAATTACAGACTCAGGACTTCGCCCAATTTATCATTGCACGGGGTGTTAATTAAACTTGTTGGAGGAGGTGTGTTCCACTCCTTCGAGCTGCGGCATGGTGTTGTAATCATAAGTGGATGGTGCTAATGTAATAACAACTCACTAGTTAAATGATATGACGGGGCGGCGGGCGTATGTGTGGCCAAAATGAGTGTCCGCAGAAACTTTCAAATTGCCAAGCAGTCTCCGTGGCGGTGGCAATTTTCTACCGAGCAAGCAGTGGCAATTTATACGTGTAATGATGACGCACATTTGGGTGGCTAATAAATTTAAAATAATATTACACAAATTATACAGCGGGATGCGCGGAGTGGGACGAGCTCGCGCGAGACAGCCGGAAATGTGACATTAGTATGCAGCCGTGAGGGTATGTTTGCGGGTTCATCATTGAGGCGTTGAGGGTGGCAAGAAATTGCTATGTTATTGCTACATGAAGAGAATAATGGTAATTACCAGAGCGCTCCTCAGCTATTCGCCAAGATGTTGCCAGTTGTTGTCGTCCTCGCGACAAGATGAAAGCTCGCCATATTCACATTAACTGCAATGTCCTCCGTCGTTTTGGCCGTATTTTCTGAAACACCCCCGCCCAGGCACGGCTGCCGCCATTTGTGTCCTGCGATTTTTCCCTCTTCGCCATATAAATAATACGAAAAAGATATAATTTACACACCTTGACATTTTTTATGGGTGCCACATTAAGTCATTTCAGCAGCTGAGAAGAATATTATTGCGAGCGAAGAGAAGGCAATAAATGTGCAATTTCGCGAAAATGAATTCGCAGTGTATCTTATTCACATCATCGAGAGTGTTGGCTTGAAAGAGAATTTGGTGATATTTAGAAATATGGTGGTGCCTAATTGAAATTATTGCCTCGCGCCCATCCGGAGAATTATTCTAAATTGCTTCCTGTGAGGGAATTATGAGATCATCATCCCAGCTTTCAACAGCTAACTAGCAGGAGCTTTATATTGAATGAGAAGGTGCTCATGGTAGTTATTCATACATAAGTGATTCAATCCGTATTCAAACTCACTTACTCCGTGATAGAATCATGAACATAATCTAGAGAGATGGAATATGCGGATAAGTTACGTATGGTTAATTGACAGAATGTAAAGAGCATCGATTTAATGTATTCTGTTTGCTGCATATTTTATAATGGCGATGACGCGTATCTGTCAAATGATAAAGCTCTGAGAGCTTTCGTGGTGATATATTGGAGCGATTTGCTACTTTTACGATGCTGATTTCCTCTGGGGCGAGACGAAAATCCAATAATTTTATTACTTTAATGGTTGTTTCAAATCAATTCTCCCGCGAAAATGCTACATTTGTGGAATTTATCGTGAAAAGAATGGGTGATATTGAAGGTGGAGGCTAAAATATACGATAAGAGATCACGCTACAAGCGAAAATTTACATACAATTTATTTATTTCATCAATTTTCTCCCTTCTTTCTACTTCTTTCATTTGATTATATATTAGCTACACTTTGGCGCTGTTCTTTTTGGGTAGGGCTGAAGTGTACCCAGAAAAGCTCTCTTGAGCCATTTATGAAGATTTCTTCCCCTCACAAATTCACATTTCCAT